ACATTTGGAACTGTTCTTCATTGTGGGTGCTACTGTGATGATTGACATCAGTGGCCTCAAATCTTTTTCTAGAATTCCCAAGCCTCTTCTCAGACCCCACTGTCTTCGACTGTAAAACAGGGAGCTCAGATTTTACTTTTTCTGTCTCTCTTTTGCAGGGTCTCATACTGTACTTCAGGCTGTCCTAGAACTTACCATGTAGCTGTGACAGCTAATCTTCAGTGTCAGCTGAACTGGAGTTTGAATCTCCCAGGACTTGCCATTCTGGAAATGTCTGTGAAGGGTGTTTCCAGAGAAGATTAGCTGAGGAGGGGAGAGCTGCACTGAATGTGGGTGACGCCAACCCATGATCTGGGGCCTAGAATGAAGAACAGGGAAGAAAAGGAGAAAGACAGATAAAAGCCAGCATTCCCACATTCTGCTTCCTGATTCCTGGAGATGTGAGTCATCCCAGCCACATGCTCCAGCTGCCATAAACCCAGCCATGCCTTTCCTGCCAGGATGGGTTGAACCGTCTTAAATCAAAATCCAAAACAAATCTTTCTTGCCTTAAGCTATTTCCATCTTTTTTTCAGATTTTTGTTTGTTGTTTGTTTGTTTTATATGAATGAGAAAACTGAGTGATAGTACATTTGGGTTGACCTTCTACTCCCAGAAATCATCCCGCCTCCCTCTGAGAACTGGTGTTGCAAGTGTGGGAATATAATCTTCTATAAATGTATTGGGATGAATTGAGACTGTGGGAGTATGTCTGCTGCCTCCTTAACCTTTGTATCTATCTATTCTATAACTCTCGTATATGCATATATTTACTGTGTGTTGTGTCACATTTCAGTTAATATTAGTAATTAAGATTGGAGTAAAAAGGCTGGAGAGATGGCTCAGTGGTTAAGAGCATTGCCTGCTCTTCTAGAGGTCCTGCCTGAGTTCAATTCCCAGCAACCACATGGTGACTCACAACCACCTGTAATGAAATCTGGTTCCCTCTTCTGGCCTGCAGGCATGCAGGCAGAATACTGTACACACAATAAATAAATAAATCTTTAAGAAAAAAAAGAGAATGGAATAAAAGAGGATGTGTATTGCTTCAATTAGATTACCATGGAAAGCAGTATTATCTGCTGAATTCCTAAAATGAATACCATCACACTTAGTGAATTTATTGTTACTTAATTGTGACATTGTAGAATGTCGGATGTTCTGTGTTTTGTGTGCTGTTCAAAGAACAAGAGTCACCCAGAATGTGATTCTAGGCTCTCTGACAGCAGGGAGAACAACTTCTGAGAACTGAACCTCAAAACTCTGCTCAGAAGCATTATTTATTGATTGCACACAAAGGTTGTGTTTGGAGGACAGCAAGGTCTTTATACCAAAGTCCCTTTGATCTATATGTTCTCTGAAAAAAAATCATGCCCCCACAACTTTAATCTTTATTATGTACTGTTTGCAATACCCAATAATTCAAGACCTGCAAGTGTGCCCAGATAGTCTTGTGACCAAAGTCATGAAAGGGACTGAAAATTTCCTCAGAAAAAGTTTATAAATCATAGAAAACAATCACTGTACTATGATTTTTTTCAAGTTCTAGATACATTCATCAACACTAATACATTCTACTGATACCTTAGAAACAGTGAGAAACAACTATTACATTGTAATGTTTACCCTAGATACAATGACTCTACCAGATTCCCACTACAGTGGAAAGATACAAGCATGACCATCTATGTTTCTTTTGTAAACAGAATACTCCTGATACACCGTGAACGTAAAAAATAAAGACAGAGATCACAACTTAAAGAGAATTTATTCTGGAGTCAAATGTGACAATAGCCTGGAACACAGATTTCAGTTCCTATAAATTCCATGTCCTAAAATGGTAACCGTTTTATTGTTTTCATAGTAACAGAACAGCAACAACAAGGCACAAACAACACATCTTAGAAATACACTGGTGGAAACATCAGGCAGGCAGGTTGTATCCATGCAGGGAAATCTGTTAGACCTGAGATGCTCTCTGATGACATGAGTTGGTAGAAGCTAGGGGCCTGTTTGTACATTCCAAAGGGGTTTACCTAATAGTCACAAGGATGTCAAGTCACACAGAGGAGTAATAATAGATATTTAAGGGACTAGGACATATTTATTTATTTGTTTGTTTGTTTGTTTTGTTTTGCTTTGGTTTGGATTGGTTTAGTTTGGGTTTTTGGTTTTTAGAGACAGGGTTTCCCTGTGTAGTCTTGGCTGTCCTGAAACTCTCCCTGTAAATCAGACTGGGCTCGAACTCACAGAGATTCCCCTGCATCTGCCTCCCGAGTGCTGGGATTATAGGCCTGTGCCACCACAGCCTGACTTGGTGTTCTTTTAAAAAACTTATTATTTTTATGTTATGTGTATTGGTGTTTTAACTGCATGTTTTTTTCCCCTCCACACTTTCTACAGCTGCTTAAAATCCTCCATTACTGACCCTAACTCAAAGGCATTACTTTCCTCTCTATATAACCGCAAGATTAAGGCTTGCAAGAGCTGTTCTCCTCCTACCCCTAACCCCTGCTAAAAGTAATGAAATGGTGCCAGAGCGTCTTCTGAGTCTGGTTTTGTTATTGTTTTTGTTGTTAGCCTTATTTTTTTCTTTTTAATCAAGAAGAATTCACAGATTGGAACCCTTTATTTCCCAGTAATGTTTGGACATCCACACGTTCATTTCTGCTGTATGTAGGAATTTCGGATAACCCACTCAGACTCATCGTGATCCGTCCCCACATACCCACAACGCTATAAAACTCCACAGAGAGGAACAAAGACCTAATCTCAAGTTCTCCAAACACGGAGGATGGGGTGCACAGTGCCAAGAGCCCTCCTTCTGTTGCTGGCAGCCACCCTGTCCCCAACTCTGGCCCTCTCTGGTGAGTACCAGGTGGAGAGAGAAACCATTTTTGAAGGAAGAAACGGGGTTACTGGATTGGGACCGCACCCGGAAAGCCGCGTCTCCGCCCCCGCCCAAGTTGCCCTCCCTTCTCCCGGAGATGGGCAGTCAGTTCCAAGCTCCCTTCTCTCCACGTTTGGACCCGTGCCCCCTGCACACCTCCCAAGGGGTGCACCTGTTCCTCGATCTGGCCGGATGCAGGGTCACCGCGCGCCACTCCTAGGCTCACACTCCCTGCGTTATTTCTCCACCGTCTTCTACAATCCTGGCCACGGCGAACCTCGGGTCAGGGTCGTCGGCTACGTGGACAACACACAGATCTTGAGCTTTGACAGCGACAATGAGAGTCAGCGAGTGGAACCGCGGGTGCCATTTATGGCGCAGGATCCTGAGGATGAATTGACGCGTCTCGGCAGGCGCATCTTAATAATTGGCCGAATCGAACTGAGGACCCTGTTCAACTACCGTAGCAAGAGAGAGAATGGTGAGCGACCGTAGATTCGTAATGCTAGTATACAGTCTCCAAATATTCTGAGGGACATAGGAACATATCTTGGATTAGTGAAATCCGCCAAGTTTCAGCCATCCTGGGGAAGCTTGAGGAAATTTATTGGGGTTTTATTTCACTGTGAAATAGGCTTTAAGCAATCATGCACAGGCTATGTGTATTGAATGGCGCTAATCTAGGAGACTGTACTGACCTCCCTGGCTGCAACAGGGTCTCACACTATCCAGGAGATTTGCGGCTGCGACATAGGGCCAGACCACCGCCTACTCCGTGGGTATGAGTAGATCGCTTATGATACCCAGGATTATATCTCTCTGACTGAGGACCTGCGCTCCTGGATCGCAGTGGATACCAAGGAGGCTCAGAGCACCAGGCGCAAGTGGGAGGTAGCAGGGTTTGCAAGGCCATGGAAATCTTTCTTTGAAGGAAGGTGTGTGACGTGGCTTCTCAATACCTGGATAAAGGAAAGGAGATTCTGCAGCGTGCAGGTAAGAGGGTTAGGGTAGTTTCTGTCTGCCTTGGAGCAGAATTTCTGGGAAGAAAGAAAACAAATTCCTAAGCCACCTATTGAAAAAGAAGGTTCTTCTCTGTTTAGCTGGTCCCCCTGAACCGGTTTCTCTCTGTCTGCCTGTTTTCAGAGGCTTAATATCAGTTACAATTGTCTGGCCTATCTATGGCTTAGGCCATTACTGGCTAGTTCTCTCTATAAATTAACCCATTTCTATTAGTTTCTATTTCATCCTGCGGCTTCTTGTGTGGCTACTTGGAGTCTTCTGACTCTGCCTTCTCTCTGTGTATCTTTGTTTGAACTTCCAGCCTAGTTTTACTATGCTAAGCCATTGGCCGAAACTGCTTCCTTTATTCATTAATCAATAAAAGCAACACATGTACAGAAGGACATCCCATGTCAGGTAATTCCCTTTTGATCTCAGTCCCTGTCTCTGCCATTGCTCACAGATCAGGTGTAACTACTCAGTTTTAACCCACTCAGAGGTATACAAGTTCACACCTTTATCGTAGAACTTATTGTAGGAATAGATAGGTCCTCATTCTGGGCCCATGAAGTTTAAGTGCTTCTCTGTAGATCCCAAGCCCAACTCTGGGTATGATCAATGATCAGAGCTCAAGTTGTCCTCAGGAAGGAACAGAAGTTTGTTCTTCTCTGACTCTTCTCAGATCCTCCAAAAACAAATGTGACTCATCACCCCAGACCTGAAGGAGGTGCCACCCTGAAGTGCTGGGCCCTGGGCTTCTACCCTGCAGACATCACCCTGACCTGGCAGAGGGATGAGGAGGACCTGACCCAGGACATGGACCTTGTTGAGACCAGACCTGCAGGGGATGGAACCTTCCAGAAGTGGGCAGCTGTGGTGGTGCCTTCAGGAGAAGAGCAGAGATACACATGCCATGTGCTGCATGAGGGGCTGCCTGAGCCCCTCGTCCTGAAATGGGGTAAAGGGGTGTGTGTAGGCCCAGAGTCTGTCTTAGGGAAAGCAGGAGCCCCTCTGCAGACCCTGAGCAGGGTCAGGGTCCCTCACCTCTGTCCTCTCCTACTCTCTCTGGCAGAGCCTCCTCCATCTCCCACCACCCCCATCATGGGGATCATTGCTGGTCTGATTCTCCTTGGAGTGTTGGTTGCTGGAGCTGTGGCTGTCATTGTGATGAGGAAGAGTACAGGTAGGACAGGACAGTGTCTGAGATTTGGGCCTTCCTGAGAAATTTCAAGCCCTGGATGCAAATGTGTCCATGTCCTGTTTTGTTACTATAACGTGTGTTCATTCCTGTGTGCTTAGCCACTTCCAGACAATTATTATTATTATTATTATTATTATTAATTATTATTATTATCTCTGTAAGGAATACCTGGAAGTAGAGGACAAAGGATTCATATTGAATATTCTCGTGATGTGACACAAATCCGTGGTGGAGTCTCTAGGGGGGAAATGGCTGGGAGGATACTTGATCCTTTTCTCATGTTTCCTGGCCCTGTTCTAGGTCTGTCTGTGTCCATACCCTGGAATATTATCTGAGGTCTAGGACTAGGAGTTTTCTCTTGCACCAACTGGTCCTCCATCCTTCTCTGTCTTTATCCTCCCAGAGATTGAAAAGAATGCAGTTTGATAACCTTATTAGTTTATTTACACCCCTCATGTCCTGGCATTAGAATTCCCTTTTTCTTAAAAGTCTAAAAAGGAAGTAGAGACCTAGTCCCCCATCACTTTGCTAAATATCCCTTCAGCTGAGCACAGCTTGCATCCTTGGCTCCACGGGCGTACACCTGTACCTTGTATAGGACCTGGTATTAATAGGCTTTTGTGTTCTGTCCCTCGATATGAAGACTCATTTTGGGTTTTTTAAATTTTTCTAAATTAAAAAAGTAAGGTTATAAATTCATATATAAATTTTTTTATGGTTAAATGATAAGAATTTCCATTATCTTTGTCTATAAGTTGGAAATCAGTCTAGGGAATGTTCAGATAGCAATCAGTCAGAGACTTCATTGTATAAAATGCTCACTGAGGCTGAAGCCCATAGGAGGGAAATCATATGTTCCTGTCAACATGACTTCTCAGGGCTGATGATGGCATTTGGGACTGTTCATTGTGTGGTTGCTTCTCTGATGGTTGACACCAGGGACTTCAAACCTTGTTTTAGAATTCTCAGGCCTCTTCCCAGACTCTTGCATCTTAGAATGTAAAGCAGGGAGCTCAGATATTACTTTTCTCTCTCTCTCTCTCTCTAGTAGGTTCTCACTCTGTACCCCAGGCTGGTCTGAATCTCACCCTGTAACTGCGACAGCTAATCTTCAGGGGCAGCTGGATTGGATTTCGAATCTCCAAGAACTTGCAATTCTGGAAATGTCTGTGAAGTTGTTTCCAGAGAAGATTAATTCAGCAGAGGAGGAGGCTATTGAATGTGGGGTGACAACAGCCCATGATGTGGGGGTCCAGAAGAAAGGAGAGGAAAAGGAGAAAGCCAGATAAGAGCCAGCGTCCCCACACTCTGCTTCCTGATGCATGGAGATGTGAGTCATCCCAGCCACAGTTCCAGCTGCCATGAACTCCACCCTGCCTTTCCTCCCAGGATGGGTTGAGTTTTCTTAAATCAAAAACCAAAATAAATCCTTCTTGCCTTAAGTTGCGTCTTTCAGGTTCTTTTGCCCTTGTTTTTGTTGTTTTACATTAGTGAGATGAGTGAGTGGCCCGGCTTCTACTCCCATAAACCATCCTGCCTCAACCTGAATGCTGGTATTCAAGTGTAGGGGAATACAGTCCGCTTGAAGAATGACTCCTGTTGCCTGCTGTGAGGGAGACTCAAGCATTGACCAGGGGATCCTGGTCTACATTGTTGCAGCTTGTGTCTGAACATCAGCAGGGACTCACTAACAGAACCTCAGTCCAAGCTTATTATACAGAATCTCAGCTCAGACACTGAATCTTGAGCTGTCCCAGGGAGTCCCGTACACAGAAAAGTTGAGACTTTCTGTGCTTTTTTTTTTTTGTCTTTTCTTTTCTCGTACAATACATCCCAACCAAAGCCTCCCTTGCCAGTCACCCTGCAACTTCCCCTTCCTCCCAGTTCCCTATAACCTCCCCTTTCCCTCAGATCTACTCTTCCCCCAGTTCACTTTGTACAAAAGCGGGCCTCCCAATGATACCAACCAAATATCATAAGAAGGTGCATTAAGCCGGGCGGTGGTGGCACACGCCTTTAATCCCAGCACTCGGGAGGCAGAGGCAGGCAGATCTCTGTGAATTCGAGACCAGCCTGGTCTACAAGAGCTAGTTCCAGGACAGGCTCCAAAGCCACAGAGAAACCCTGTCTCGAAAAACCAAAAAAAAAAAAAAAAAAAAAAAAAAAAAAAAAAAAAAAAAAAGAAGTTGCATTAAGATTAGACATAAACCATAATATCAATGTTGGAAAAAGCAACCCAGTAGAAGGATCAGAGTACCACTAGCAGGCCCCACACCAGGTAAAAGAGTCAGAGACACCCCCACTCCCACTGTTAGGAACCCCACAAACAACCCAAGATAAATAACCACAGCATGTATGCAGAGGACTTTGTGCAGATCCATGCAGGCTCCATGATTGCCATTTCACTCTCTGTGAGGCCCTATGATCCCTGCTTAGCTGATTTTGTGGCTGTGTTCTCCTCGTGTCCTTGACCCCTCTGGCTCTTAATCCTTCTTCCCCCTCTTCTTCGAGATTCCCTAATGTTTGACTGTGGGTCTCTGCAATTGCTTCCATCAGCTACTGGAGGAAGCCTCTCTGATGCCGACTGGACTAGGCACCAACCTATGAGTATACAAAAATATTATTGGGAATCATTTCATTTGCTTTTTTATATTTTATTTTATTTTTCATTTGTGTTTGGGTCTACCCTAGATCACAGAGCTATCCAACTTCTGGGTCCTGGTCATCCAGGCAGTGTCAGGTTTGAGCTCCCTCTCATGGCTTGGGCCTCAAGTTAGATCAGTCACTGCTTGGGCCTATCTGCAAGCTCACTTATAAATGAATTTTAGCCTCCTTTCTCTTGTTCTCCCTCACCCACCCTTTCAGTATCTTTTCTCTCTCCCTCAGGAGCTCTACTTCCTGTGAAACTCTACATCCAGCACTGTCCATATCTCTGAACTGCAGTTTGAATGATTTTGATAATAAGCCTCTCAGCTATATTACCACAAAAACAATGATTGCTGAAAGCTTCCCTGAACAGCCCTTCCCTTATCAGGTCCATCTAGTACCTTACTTTTCATAACGATTGGACCCCAACACAACACATGGACTATGTGCAGTGGCAGCAACAGTCATCCTGATTGACAATCCTAGCCTCTTATACAAGGATCCTCATTCACCCCCCAGCTCTTAATGCTGCGGTGTCTACTCCCTTACAAGGCCTTAAGACAAAGTATCTATGGGCCAGCAGACCTCCTGTGAAGAGGTCCTGTCAATATTCCTCATCATCTTATATCACTTAACACTTTACATCTGTCTGTATCCATCTCTTAGACTAGATCCTCTTTCCCTCAGCATGAATGTTATAAAAATGGTGTAAAGAAACAAGAGGCTCTTGGATGCCTCTTCAAATAACCCAGATTTATTTCTCTGTGGTGATGCCTCTTAGAAAGCAGTTTTAGAAGACAAATTATAATTGGCTATGCCATAGTTTCCCTAGGACACACTAAGCCCTCTAGGAAGTCAGCCTATGCTAATGCAACCAGAAAGACCAGCTTCCCAGGCTGCTCCGGGGTTGTAAAAAGAATGCCACAGAGTAGCAGGATTTAGGATTTTTTTTTCCTGAGGGTCTTAGAAAGGGAATGAGATACACATGTGTACTGACGCTCACTCTCTTTTTTTCCTTCTCCAAATCCATCCCTCTCTTTGTCACATACAACTAATATATATTCAACAGAAATTCTTAGGCAATAAAAGGTTCACTTGAAGTTTACATTTCATTTCTAAAGTAAATGATAAGGAGCAGAGTTTCTGATAACACACGTGTAATAAATCTATCAGGTTCCTAATTAGTGGGGCAGCTGCAGCTGTAAAGAAAATCCAGCCACTCTGTTATCCACTGAGGAGAGAGCCTATAAAGGGTTATAAAGGGGGCTATAAAGTTCAACTATCGTGAAGTCTAGAAAATAGAGAAATTGTGCATTATATTCTATATTTCTAAGTAATAAACATTTTTAAACTAACATTTTGTGATTGACAATCATAAAAATGTCAGTTTCTCTTGAACATAGAGCTCTGACTGACAGGGAAGTGCAAATTGCAGCTGGCACAGCTGGGAGTGAGTCAGGACTTCAAGGGGCAGATGGGAGGCTCCTCTTTGGTGTGTAGCTCAATAAAAATCAATAAAGAAGAAGAAGAAGAAGAAGAACAAGAGATAAACTCAGGGACTCAATCGACTGCCCCCTTCTAAACATTCTGGATACTGCTCAAGACAATACAAGTAGGATTTGTTAAAGTAAAAATCTCAAGAGACAACACAGATAAAACTCTTGAACAAGACAAAAAGGCCTTGGTTGAGTCCCAAGACATTTCATCCCAATTAAATGTAATCTGATCCAAGTCAGTTAATTAGACTTTTCTATTCAAACTTCAACAGTTGAAGAACTGCAACATTTCCACTCATTTCATAATCTTATTGCTCAAGTAGGATAATCTTGATGAAAGTGTTAGAAAGGGCCGGGCGATGGTGGTGCACGCCTTTAATCCCAGCACCCGGGAGGTAGAGGCAGGCGGATCTCTGTGAGTTCGAGACCAGCCTGGTCTACAGAGCTAGTTCCAGGACAGGCTCCAAAGCCACAGAGAAACCCTGTCTCGAAAAACCAAAAAAAAAAAGTGTTAGAAAGGCTAAAACATTCCAGGTGATGTAGAACATCTATACCAACGTGTCATACAAAACAAATTCAAAAGTTCTCTTCAAGTAAAGAAACCTTTCAGTCCTGAATACATCAATAACAAAAAACATGGAAAAGAAAAAAATCTTTCTTCATAAATAATTACTGATACCTGGCAATATCTTTTCCCCAAAGCAAAAAAATACACCAAAGATCAATCATTTATAGTTGATAATAACAGCAACAAAATATTAGTTTCCAAGTATTTTTTTTTTTTTTTTTTTTATATTTATTTATTTATTATGTATACAATATTTTGTCTGTATGCCCAAAGGCCAGAAGAGGGTACAAGACCTCATTACAGATGGTTGTGAGCCACCATGTGGTTGCTGGGAATTGAACTCAGGACCTTTGGAAGAGCAGGCAATGCTCTTAACCTCTGAGCCATCTCTCCAGCCCTTTCCAAGTATTTTTATCTATAATTTCTTTGAAGGTCAAAAAGTAAAAACCACAGCAAACAAATAAACAAATGCACAAAATATCATGTCAGAAGGAAAAACAAATTCTTCTTAGAGACATGATTACTTGCAGGGAAAAATTTCTCCAGTTACTAACTTTAGAGTCTTTGGGGGCACTAGTTTATGGCCCTCTCCTACCAAAGTCTTTATGTCTTAAAAGAAAGAAACAATAAATCCTTGTCACTCTAGAGCCCACATGTAACAAAGAGCAAAAATGTATCCATCCCCAAACGCCTTTTTCACAAAACCTGCAGTAGAGCCCATAAATTCTTAAAACTAGGAAATCATTTACCCTTATCATCCACCTCCAAAACCAAGAATGACTTTTAATAATCAGTCCAAAGCTATGTTCAGTTTGTTTTCATTTCTCACTAACTTTTTCCTGTTTTAAAGATAAAAGGCAGAATCTTGACTTCTTTTGATGAGAGATCAGTACCCCCCCACCCAGTCATGGGTTCTATTGGGAATACAGATGTTTCTGTTTATATACCATATAACTGTCAGCTTTGTACTAGATACTAAAAACTACTATTGCATTTTAACTGTCTGTCAATAAACCCAAACTCCAGTACACTCAGGTGTCATTTAACATCACTGGGTGATTATTTCTGACCAAATAGAATATTCTGCAGATATCTATTAGATCTATTTGAGTTATTCTATAGTTTGATTTTGGAGGGTTATTTTTATTATGCTATTGATTTTAGGTTTGGATGACCTATGTATAAAAATAAGAGTGGAATATTGAAATTACCCACTACTACTGTATCAGGAACTCTGTCAGACCTTTTATACACTCATTAATGTTTGTTTTAGGAAATAGTCACTATTCAGAGCATATGTGGTATCATCTTTCTGAATAAACCACTTTTGAGTAATTTTGCTTTGAAATTTATCAAATATCAGAATAGCCATGCCAGCTTTGTCTTCAGTTTCCATTGTCTTGACTCACTGTTTTCTGCACGTTCACCACATTTCTGATGATGTTTTCTGGGAGAAAGCAGATAGATGGGTCTAGTGTTATGATCCAGTCGGCCAGTATATGTGTTACTTACAGGTCAGCTGAAACAATTACCATCATGAAGGTAGGTGCTAGGGGAGTTTTACTAATTTCTTTGGCTTTTCAGGCTATTTCCCTGGTTGTTTGATCATTATGTGCTCGGTTCTTTCACCCCTACTAATATTAGGGATTTGCTATTTTATGTGTTAGACCGGATAGATTTCTTTCTAACTCTCCCTTGTCTGTTTCTTCTATTAATTTTATGTTTTCTTGTCTTCTCACACTTAAAACCATCTTTCTACTTCCTCTGTGTATACTATTCTTTTAGGTTTAGTATTTTTTGGAATACTGGCTTGGTTTTGTCAAGACCTGCTTAGTCTATGCTATTTGAATCCTTATATTTTATCATTAATTAAGACAGATTAAATAAATATGATATTCTTAGATATCAATGAACTACTTTTAATGTTTAAAATAAATTCTTCCATTCTTTCCATGCTTTTTGCATAGCTGAAAAGGGATTTGATGTTATTCTGATCTGTCTTTGTTGGATAAACTATTTTTTCATTAAAGTTTTAAGATTAAAAAAAGAAAGAAAACAGATGTAGAGAACCACAGTCAAACATTAGGGAACCTCAAAGAAGAGGAGGAAGAAGGAATAGGATTGTAGGAGCCAGAGGGGTCAAGGACACCAGGACAACACAGCCCACAGAATGAATTATGCAGGGCTCATAGGCTGAAATGGCAATCATGGAGCCTGCACGGATCTACACTCAGTCCTCTGTGGTTGTTTAGCTTGGGTTGTTTTGGGGGCTCCTAAGTGGGAATGGGGTGTCTCTGACTCTTTTGCTTGCTTGTGGGACTTGCATGTGGGGCTTCATTCCTTCTACTGGGTTACCATATCCAGTCTTGATGTGATTGTTTATACCTAGTTTTATTGCAACTTTTTATGATGTTTTGTTGGTATTATTGGTAGCCCATGTTTGTCTGAAGGAACTGGAGGAAGAATGGAGCTGAGGGGAGGGGAGGTTATAGGGAACTGAGAGGAGGAAGGGGAAGTTGTGGGAGACTGGCAGGGGAGGCTTTGGTTGGGATGTATTGTATGAGGAAAAAAAAAGACAAAAAGAAAAAGGCACAGAGTGTCTCAACTTTCCCGTGTACAGGAGTCCCCTGGACATCTCAAGATTCAGGGTGTCTGAAGTGAGATTCTGTATATTAAACTTGGACTGAGCCTGCTGATGTTCAGCTGAGAAGCTGCAAAGATGTAGACCAGGATCTTCTAGGCAATGCATCAGACTACCTCACAGCCAGCAACAGGAGTCATTCTTGAAACAGTCTTGAATTACCACTTGCAATACCAGCATTCAGGATGAGGTAGGATGATTTATGGGAGTAGAAGCTGTATCACTCAATTTACTCATTAATGTAAAAACAAAAAACAAAAAAAAAACCAAAAAACAAAACAAACAGAAAACAAAGACAAAATAACCTGAAAGAAGCAACTTAAGGCAAGAAGGATTTATTTTGGTTTTGATTTAAGACAGCTCAATCCATCCTGGGAGGAAAGGCCTGGCTGGATTCATGGCAGCTGGAGCTGTGGCTGGGATGACTCACATCTCCATGCATCAGGAAGCAGAGTGTGGGGATGCTGGCTCTTATCTGGCTTTCTCCTTTTCCTCCCTGTTATTCATTCTGGGTCCCAGATCATGGGCTGGTGTCACCCACATTAAGTGCAGATCTCCCCTTCTCTGTTAATCTTCTCTGGAAACACCCTTCACAGACATTTCCAGAATTGCAAGTCCTGGGAGATTCTAAATCCAGAGCTGACACTGAAGCCCTCACAGCTTCATTTGAGTTCCAGACCAGCCTGAGGCACTGTATGACACCCTGCCAAAGAGAGAGAAAAATAGTGATATCTGAGCTCCCTGCTTTACAGTCTAAGTCAGTGGGGTCTGAGAGAGGCCTGGGAATTCTAGGAAAAGGTTTCAGGTCACTGTTGTCAATCATCACAGTAGCTCCCACAACAAACAAATGTCATCAGCCCTGAGTTGTCATGTTGACAGGTACATATCGTTTTCTCCCCTATGGGGTGTAGCCTCAGGCATGAGAAATAGGAAGCAATTAACACAATGTAAGTCTCTGGCTGATAGCTACTTATATATTTTATATTCCCTAGACTGATTTACAACTTATAGACAAAAATAATGAAATCCAAATTCTTATCATTTATCCATAAACTAATTCTATATGTAAAATTAGGGGCTTAAAAACTTTTTATCTTAGAAAAATAAAAAGCTGCAAACTTGAGTCTTCATATTTAGGGACAGAACACTAAGGTCCATCAACACCAGGACCTGTACAATGTGCAGGTACACACTGGTGGAGCTAAGGACTCAAGCTGTGCTCAGATGCAGGGATGTTTAGCAAAGTGATGGGGGGGGGGGGGACTGGGTCTCTGCTTCCTTTGTAGACTTTCAGGGAGAAGGGATTTCTAATGTCAAGACATGAGGTCATGGGGTGGAAATAAGATAAAAGTTAACTAACTACACCCTTTTTTATTTCTGGGAGGATAAAGACAGAGAAGATTGAAGACCAATTGGTGCCAGAGAAAACTCCTAGTCCTAGACCACAGATAATATTCCAGGGTATGATCACAGACAGACATAGAACATGGTCACGAAACATGAAAAAAGGATCAAGTATCTTCCCAGTCATTTCCCCCTCCTGGAGACTCCACCTCAGATTTGTGTCACACCACGAGAATATTCAATATGAATCCCTTGTCCTCTATTTCCAGGTGTTCTTACAGAGGTAGTTTTTTTCTGTTTTTTTTTTTGCTTCTTTTTTCCCCCTTTTTAAAAAATGGTCCCGAATAAAATGGGTGAAAGACACTTAAGGTAATGCTCAACATCCTTAGTCATCAGAGAAATGCAAATCAGAACAACTCTGAGATTGCATCTTACACCTATAAGAATGGCCAAGATTAAAACACTGATGACAACTTATGCTGGAGAGGTGGTGGGGTAAAGAGAACACTCCTTCATTGCTGGTGGGAATGCAAGCTGGTACAGCCCCTTTGGATGTCAGTGTGGCAATTTCTCAGAAAATTAGGAAACAACCTTCCTCAAGACCCAGTAATACCACTTTTGGGTATATAGCCAAAGGATGCTCAATTATGCCACAAGACCATGTGCTCAAATATGTTCATAGCAGCATTGTTTGTCATAGTCAGAACCTGGAAACAACCTAAATGCCCCTTGACCGGAGAATGGATAAGGAAAATGTGGTTCATTTACACAATGGAGTACTACACAGTAGAAAAAATTAATGACATCTTGAAATTTGCAGGCAAATGGATGCAGCTAGAAAACATCATTTTGAGTGAGGTACCCAGACCTAGAAAGACAAATATCATATATACTCACTTATAAGTGGTTTTTAAACATAAAGCAAAGAAAACTAGCCTACAAATCACAATCCCAGAGACCCTAGGCAACAATGAGGACTCTAAGAGTGACATACATAGATCTAAACTACATGGGAACTAGAAAAAGACAAGATCTGAGTAAATTGGGAGCATGGGGACCATAAGAGAGGGTTAAAGGGGAGAGGAGAGACAGGAAGAGAAGCCAAGAAAATGTAGAGCTCAATAAAAAGTAATTAATTAATTAAAAAAGAAAAAATTTAAAAAGCAAAGAGTTTTAGGAAGAAAACAAAACAAGACAAAAAAGGTCTGGAAGTGGCTAAGCACACAGGAATGGATACACTTTATAGTAACAAAACAGGACATGGGCACATTTACATCCAGGGCTTGAAATTTCTCAGGAAGGCCCAAATCTCAGACACTGTCCTGTCCTACCTGTACTCTTCCTCATCACAATGACAGCCACAGCTCCAGCAACCAACACTCCAAGGAGAATCAGACCAGCAATGATCCCCATGATGGGGGTGGTGGGAGATGGAGGAGGCTCTGCCAGAGAGAGTAGGAGAGGATAGAGGTGAGGGACCCTGACCCTGCTCAGGGTCTGCAGAGGGGCTCCTGCTTTCCCTAAGACAGACTCTGGGCCTACACACACCCCTTTACCCCATTTCAGGATGAGGGGCTCAGGCAGCCCCTCATGCAGCACATGGCATGTGTATCTCTGCTCTTCTCCTGAAGGCACCACCACAGCTGCCCACTTCTGGAAGGTTCCATCCCCTGCAGGTCTGGTCTCAACAAGGTCCATGTCCTGGGTCAGGTCCTCCTCATCCCTCTGCCAGGTCAGGGTGATGTCTGCAGGGTAGAAGCCCAGGGCCCAGCACTTCAGGGTGGCACCTCCTTCAGGTCTGGGGTGATGAGTCACATTTGTTTTTGGAGGATCTGAGAAGAGTCAGAGAAGAACAAACTTCTGTTCCTTCCTGAGGACAACTTGAGCTCTGATCATTGATCATACCCAGAGTTGGGCTTGGGATCTACAGAGAAGCACTTAAACTTCATGGGCCCAGAATGAGGACCTATCTATTCCTACAATAAGTTCTACGATAAAGGTGTGAACTTGTATACCTCTGAGTGGGTTAAAACTGAGTAGTTACACCTGATCTGTGAGCAATGGCAGAGACAGGGACTGAGATCAAAAGGGAATTACCTGACATGGGATGTCCTTCTGTACATGTGTTGCTTTTATTGATTAATGAATAAAGGAAGCAGTTTCGGCCAATGGCTTAGCATAGTAAAACTAAGCTGGAAGTCCAAAGATACACAGAGAGAAGGCAGAGTCAGAAGACTCCAAGTAGCCACCCAAGAAGCCGCAGGATGAAATAGAAACTAATAGAAATGGGTTAATTTATAGAGAGAACTAGCCAGTAATGGCCTAAGCCATAGATAGGCCAGACAATTGTAACTGATATTAAGTCTCTGAGAACAGGCAGGCAGAGAGAAACCGGTCCGGAGGACCAGCTGGACAGAGAAGATCCTTCCCTTGCAATAGGTGGCTTAGGAATTTGTTTTCTTTCTTCCCAGAAATTCTGCTCCAAGGCGGACAGAAACTACCCTGACCCTCTTACCTGCACGCTGCAGAATCTCCTTCCCTTTATCCAGGTATTTGAGAAGCCACGTCACACACTCTCCTTCCAAGAAAGATTTAAAAAGCCTTGCATACCCAGCTGCCTCCCACTTGCGCCTGGTGCTCTGAGCCTCCTTGGTATCCACTGCGATCCAGGAGCGCAGGTCCTCAGTCAGAGAGATATAATCCTGGGTATCATAAGCGATCTGCTCATACCCACGGAGTAGACGGTGGTCTGGCCCTACGTCGCAGCCGCAAATCTTCTGGATAGTGTGAGACCCTGTTGCAGCAAGGGAGGTCAGTACAGTCTCCTAGATTAGCGCCATTCAATACACATAGCCTGTGCATGATTGCTTAAAGCCTATTTCACAGTGAAATAAAACCCCAATAAATTTCCTCAAGCTTCCCCAGGATGGCTGAAACTTGGCGGATTTCACTAATCCAAGATATGTTCCTATGTCCCTCAGAATATTTGGAGACTGTATACTAGCATTACGAATCTACGGTCGCTCACCATTCTCTCTCTTGCTACGGTAGTTGAACAGGGTCCTCAGTTCGATTCGGCCAATTATTAAGATGCGCCTGCCGAGACGCGTCAATTCATCCAAATGCTCAGGATCCTGCGCCATGAATGGCACCCGCGGTTCCACTCGCTGACTCTCATTGTCGCTGTCAAAGCTCAAGATCTGTGTGTTGTCCACACAGCCTACGACCATGACCCGAGGTTCGCCGTGGCCAGGATTGTAGAAGACGGTGGAGAAATAACGCAGGGAGTGTGAGCCTAGGAGTGGCGCGCGGTGACCCTGCATCCGGCCAGATCGAGGAACAGGTGCACCCCTTGGGAGGTGTGCAGGGGGCGCAGGTCCAAACGTGGAGAGAAGGGAGCTTGGAACTGACTGCCCATCTCCGGGAGAAGGGAGGGCTCCTTGGGCGGGGGCGGAGACGCGGCTTTCTGGGTGTGGTCCCAGCCCAGTGACCTGGTTTCTTTCTTCAGAAATGGTTTCTCTCTCCACCTGGTACTCACCAGAGAGGGCCAGAGTTGGGGACAGGGTGGCTGCCAGCAACAGAAGAAGGACCCTTGGCACTGTGCACCCCATCCTCGGTGTTTGGAGAACTTGAAGAGATTGGGTCTTTGTTCCTCTCTGTGGAGTTTTATAGCATTGTGGGTATGTGGGGACGGATCACGATGAGTCTGAGTGGGTTCTCCGAAATTCCCACATACAGAAGAAATGAACATGTGGGTGTCCAAACATTACTGGGAAATAAAGGGTTCCCGTTTATGAATTCTTCTTTATTAAAAAAGAAAAAAATTAAGGCTAACAACAAAAACAATAACAAAACCAGACTCAGAAGACGCTCTGGCTGGCACCATTTCATTACTTTTAGCAGGGGCTGGGGTTAGGATGAGAACAGCTCTTGCAAGCCTTACTCTTGGAGTAATATAGAGAGGAGAGTGATGCCTTTGAGTTAGGGTCTGTAATAGAGGACTATAAACAGCTGTAGAAAGTGTAGAGGAAAAAAAGCATGCAGTTAAAACACCAATACACATAACATAAAAATAACAAAGTTTTAAAAAGAACAACTGGCCAGGTTGTGGTGGCACAGGCCTATAATCCCAGCACTCGGAGGCTGATGTGGGTGGATGTTGGCAGATCTCTGTGAGTTTGAGCGCAGTCTGATCCACAGGGAGAGTTTCAGGGCAGCCACGGCTACACAGAAACACCCTGTCTCAAAACACCAAAAACCCAAACTAAACCAATTCAAACCGAAGCAAAACATAAATAAATAAATAAATAAATAAATAAATGTGTCCTAGCCCCTTAAATATCCATTATTACTCCTCTCTCTATGTGACCTGACATCCTTGTGACTATTAGGTAAACCCCTTTGGAATGTACAAACAGACCCCTAGCTTCCACCAACTCAGGTCATCAGAGAGCATCTCAGGTCTAACAGATTTCCCTGCATGGATACAACCTGCCTGCCTGATGTTTCCACCATTATATTTCTAAGATGTGTTGTTTGTGCCTTGTTGTTGCTGTACTATGAAAACAATAAAACTGTTACCATTTTAGGACATGGAATTTATAGAAACTGAAATCTGTGTTCCAGGCTATTGTCACTTACATTTGACTCCAGAATAAACTACCTTTGAGTTGTGATCTCTGTTTTTATTTTTTACATTCACGGTGTATCAAGAGTATTCTGCTTACATAAGAAACATAGATGGTCATGCTTGTATCTTTCCACTGTAGTGGGAATCTAGTAGAGTCATTGTATCTAGGGTAAACATTACAATGTAATAGTTGTTTCTCACTGTTTCTAGGGTATCAGTAGAATGTATTAGTGTTGATGAATGTATCTAGAACTTGAAAAATCATAGTACAGTGATTGTTTTCTATGATTTATAATTTTTTTCTGAGGAAATTTTCAGTCCCTTGCATGACTTTGGTCACAAGACTATCTGGGTACACTTGCAGGTCTTGAATTATTTGGTATTGCAAACAGTACACAACAAAGATTAAAGTTGTGGGGGTGTGATTATTTTCTTCAGAGAATATATAGATCAAAGGGGCTTTGGTATAAGGACCTTGTTGTGCTCCAAACACAACCTTTGTGTGCAATCAATAAATTTGTTTTTAAGAGAGGTTTGAGGTTCAGTTCTCAGAATCTGTTTCCCCTGATACCAGAGAGCCTAAAATCACATTCTGGGTGACTCTTGTTCTTTGAACAGCACACACAACACAGAACATCCGACATTCTACAATGTCACAAGTAACAATAAATTCACTAAGTGTGATGGTATTCATTTCAGGAATTTAGCAGGTAATACTGATTTCCATGGTAATCTAATTGAAGCAGCACACAGGCTCTTTTATTCCATTCTCTGTTTTTTTTCTTAAAGATTTATTCATTTATTGTGTGTACAGTTTTCTGCTTGCATGCATGCCTGCAGGCCAGAAGAGAGAACCAGATTTCATTACAGGTGGTTGTGAGTCATCATGTGGTTGCTGGGAATCTAACTCAGGACCTCTAGAAGAGCAGGCAATGCTCTTAACCACTGAGCCATCTCTTCAGTCTTTTTATTTCAATCTTAATTACCAATATTAATTGAAATGTTACATATCACACAGTAAATATATGCACATATGAGGGTTATAGAATAGATAGATGCCAAGGTTAAGAAGGCTGCAGTAGTATTTTGTGATGCTTCAGAAGTGGGCTTATAGCAATGTAAATAGAGGGCTAGAGAGATGGCTCAGCTTAAGAGCATTCATTGCTTTTGTAGAGGACCTGGGTTTGATTCTCAGCACTCACATGGTGGCTCACAAGCATCTGTAACTCCAGTTCCAGTGTATCTGATGCCCTCTTCTGGCCTCTGCAGGCACCAGGGATATACCTGGTGCATGGCCATACATGCAAGCAAAATGTTCATACACAGAAAATAAAAATAACCCTTAAAGAAATGTAAAGAGTCTTTTTAATATGGTAGGGAACCCAAACAATGCACAGAAGAAGCTGATGCTCTAGAGTCAGACACTGAGCAGAAGACTGAAAAATGACTCTAGCTGCAGAGGTAAAAGGTGGGATCAGATCTAGGGAAAGGAATGGACAGATGGATGGACAGAGATCTAGATGGATGAAAGGAAGATGAGTAAATTATAATAAAACAGTCCACATCAGCATAGTCGAGCTGAAGTCCCAGGGACAGTGTGGAGTTCTCTGTCAGCCACTGGTCCACACACTGAGTGTCAAATGACAGATTGGTGTGGGGTCCATGGCATTATAGTGCTGGGTGTTCACGTATTTCTGGGATTTTGATAAAGATTGACTGGTGATGTCTCATAAGTTCTTGGGCCTGGTTCCCCTCACATGATTCTAATATACAGACATACTCCCACAGTCTCAATTCATCCCAATACATTTATAGAAGATTATATTCCCACACTTGCAACACCAGCTCTCGGAGGGAGGTGGGATGATTTCTGGGAGGAGAAGGTCAACCCAAACTGCTCTATCACTCACTTTTATCTTTCATATAAACCAAACAACAACAAACCTGAAAGAAGAAAGAAGCATCTTAAAGCAAGAAGGATTTATTTTGGTTTTGATTTAAGAAAGCTCAATCCATCCTGGGAGGAAAGGCCTGATTGGATTCATGGCAGCTGGAGCTGTGGCTGGGATGACTCACATCTCCATGCATCAGGAAGCAGAGTGTGGGGATGCTGGCTCTTATCTGGCTTTCTCCTTATCCTCCCTGTTCTTCATTCTGGGCCCCAGATCATGGGCTGGTGTCACCCACATTCAGTGCAGCTCTCCCCTCCTCAGCTAATCTTCTCTGGAAACACCCTTCACAGACAAATCCAGAATTGTAAGTCCTGGGAGATTCAAACTCCAGTCCAGCTGACACTGATGATTAGCTGTCACAGCTACATGGTGAGTTCCAGGCCAGCCTGGGGTACAGTGTGAGATCCTGCCAAAATAAAGATAAGGGGAGAGCTTGAAGATGGTTCAATAATTAAGAACATTTGTTGATCTTGCAGAGAACCAATGTTCAGTTCCCAGCATCTTCATGGTGGTTCACAACAGCTTGTAACTCCAGTTCCAGAGAATCTAATGTCTTTCTGGCCTCCCCAGGCTGGTGCACACATAATACACATAAACACAAGAGGCAAACTTACATACACAAAATAAAATAAGTAAAAAATTCTTTATAAAGGCTAATTGGCTGGAGAAATGGCTTAGTGGATGAGCTAAGATGGTTTACTGGCTGCTATGGCAGGGGACCTGGGTTCAGTTCCTAGTGCATGGGTCCAGTTCCATGGCTCACAGTCATCTCTGACTCCATTCCTAGGGATCCAACATGTTTTTCTGACGTCTGAAGTCTCCTTTATGCAGGTAATATGCATGCATACATGTACACACACATAAATAGGGAAAACATTTTTAAAGCCTTTCTCAAGGCAGGGAAGGAGGACTATCTGGGCTCTATGCTCAACTACCCAAGACAGGTCTGGGAAGAAGACTGAGTATTTTAGAAAAAGATTTGTGGTCACTGATATCCATAATCATCCACAATGAAAATCAACCTCAAATGGGAATATAATATTCCCCCCTGAGATTGTAAGTACAAGGACTGTATCTGCCCTGAGTTTTCATGTCAGCAGATACCTATTGCTTTCTCTCCCATTGATTTTAGTTACAGGTGGAAGACTTAGGAAGCATTTCACATAATGGAAGCTTCTAGCTATTTGCTATCTGAAAGTCTCCTCATTGATTCTTTTACTTTTAGGTAAAGATACTAGAATTCAAATTCTTGTCACTTATTAAACATAAAGGAATTATGTATATGATATTGGACCATTAAAGGTCATTTTATTATGGAACCAAATTTGAGTATTCACAGCTAGGAGGAGAACACACAGGCCCATCAATGTCAGGTGCCACACAGGATACACTGTTCCTGCCGCAGGACATAGGTGCTGGTCACTGTGGTTGGGACCATTTCCCTGCAGCTCCTGGAAATGCTGTGGCAATGTTAGCCCTGCTAAAAGCATTCTCTGTGGTTTCAGCTTTTCCTTAACACTGTGTGCTGAGACAATGTCCAGCATGTCGTCCTTTGACCCGTGGAACCAAGGACTCATGATGTACTCAGATGCATGAATGCTTTTGGGAAGCTGATGGTGACTTGGTCTTTGCTTCCTTTCTAGACTCTCAGGGAGTATTCCCTGAAGTATGCAGAGAGTTCAAGAGCTGAGATAGATCATCAAGGGATGGAGACAAAATGGGAAAAGTCAGACTAGACTTTTCAATCTGTAGGAAGAAAAAGATGGGGAAAGATGCAGAATGGGAAATCCTAGAATTCCTGGGTTCAGAACCTTGGGAA